TGTGCCTGCATGCGCGAAGAAATTTTCCAACCTTGTTTCCTCCGAGCGGCGACGTACGGACTCGTCTTTGAACTCGCAGGCTACAGGAAACAGGCTCGATCAGTATCTAGCCTCGCGTTCCGCAGGAACGGTCGTTATTAGCCAATTTTTTAAAGCGGTAATTTCCGAAGTAATTATGTTCGTTTAAAGAAAGAGGCAGACAGACAGGGAGACAGACAGAGAGAGGAAGAGTGGAATAACTCAGCCGCGTTGCATGTAAAATCAAAGACGCGGCCCCTCGTGCACTGTAATACACGAACGACTTCGGGCACGCGAGACGACTGCTCGCGCGTCTACGCGGCGCGCGTTACGTAGCCCTCGTAATAAATACCGGTGCCGGCACGCCGGTCGCTAGTTGCTATGCTACTGGAATACCAGCCAGGGTTACAATGTTAGTCGTGGCGATGTCAGTCTCAGAATTTCTTTACGACCGGTAACATGCTGACCGCTTCTCCGTGTATTTTAATGCCTCGGTTTTCTAACTGTCCTGTGTCGCACCGGGGTATATTATCCTGCCGCGCGCCGAGGATCAAACCGATTACGCGCTCGTATCCCGGTCAGGTGCTCGCCTATGTTGAACGCTGCCGGCATTGACAACCCGCTTCCTCGAAAATAAGTTAATTAATGGTGATAATGTACCGGTGCAGCTTCCTACGCGGGTGATTACGAGATGTCTTATTAGGTAGCCGTGTACCCAGAGAGAGCCAAGTAGACTTGCCAATTAATCAAAGTCATTAATAGCTTGCTAATGGCTGTAGGGACACGGGCTTGTTAGTCCACGGTAACAATTGCATTGTTGCATTTCTGTTGAATACACAGGGACGCAGTTGGCTGCAGATGAAAAACTCATGTTTCACTTGACTCAGAATTTCGCAGCACCCTTTGTGTTTTTTAAATGAAACATATTTTTATTTAATTATATCTTGATTTAAAAAGATTTGTAAATTAATTACTGTCTCAATTCTCGGAATAGCATCATAAGCGAAATATTTCTACACTAAGGAAGTCATTACTTTTTTTGAATCTACTCTAACATCTTTAGCAGAAGTATTTTTGTTGCATTTTCGATTTTTTACAATGAAAGAATGTTCCTCTACTGTCAATCGCTTGCTTCTCACGAATTGATTCCAAATGATCTTCCAAGTTGAGAGTAGAGCAAGGAATGTGTCTGTATCTATCGTTCGTGTAACGGATACCTACTTTTGATACTTTATGAAACTTACGAAACACATTTCTCACTTTCAAATTCCAATACAGAACAGGCACACATTTCAACTCACTTAAATCATCTTCAATTGTTCTTTTTCCGATCCTCTAAAAGTCAGTCTTATAATTTAATAGCCCAAGTATTTACGAGTGGTAATACAGATGTGACTCGAAGTATTGTGAAGTAGAATAGCGACGATTCGTCGATGAAAGAAAATCGTAGAATCGCGCGTCGACTGGTTCACCGATTCAGCGACGTTCCACGGATATTTGTCGCATTAGTTACGTAACGCTTGAATCGCGTATGCGCGCGCGCGCGCGCGCGCGTGAATTATGAAAGTGTCGTTATTATACGTTACCCGTGGCACGCATGTCTACATTATATTGCCACTATCTCGTCTTTTACCTTTTTTCTCTTTCTACCTCGCGTACTCTGGCACGTGATTTATAGTCGTTGGTACTGGCGTACTGACACCGGGAAGTTATCGATTCGAAACTTCATAAAATGTTACTAAACTATAATTTTTCTCAGAGTCTCTCTCTCTCTCTCTCTCTCTCTCTCTCTCTCTCTTTCTCTCTCGTGCCTCTCATAAGCACATTTTTCTTAAAAAACTTAGTCGACGATAATCAAATCTATATGACAAGACTGGCGGTATATTAACCCTCAAATGGTATTTATCGTTGGGTACTAGATGACTATTTATGTTGCGCTGGCTATACAAAATTTTATTTTACGTCTCATATCTCTTTTCAAGAAGGTTAGGAATGGCATTAAATTAAATTCCATAATATGCAAGAATAATACAAAATATCCGTTGTAGTCACGACTTGAACTAATTTCTTCGAATGTATTTCTACAGAATATGAATATCCATAAAAGTCCACAATCTGTTGATAACAGATGGACGAAGAAAACAAAGCTATGCGTTAGATACATCAATTCCCGACGACAATTCGCGAGCTAATGCCGTCGCCATTTATTTTGCCGTTTGCTCGTTAAATGCTTTTGTTACCCCTCGTTGAACCCGTCGCCCTTGGTAAAACGCTCCACGGTAAGCGATATCGATCGAAAGGTATTCTTTCTCAGGTGAAATGGCATTCAGCGAAAAGATGTCGTAAAGTTGACGCCTTTATCTCGTTGACGGCTTTACGTCGCTCGTTCTCCAGTCGTCGTAACGCGGTTTCGCGTCAGAGTGAACGTAACGGGGAGGAGGCAGGGGTGGGAAAGACAAAGGGGTGATTTAATAACCACGACAGAGAGGAGCACGTGATATCGGCGATGGAAAGCGAGATACCGCGAGATGACCGTGGCGGTAATTAGCAATTCCCGATAAGCAAAACAACCGTTCGTCTTAACGACGACTCGACTCGTTAAGCCTGGCATTCCACCCCCGTCTCGCGGCAATTAGCACGCCACGTCTGTCGATAGTTGACTCTGATAAAACTACTACCGACGTTGCGTTCAGCAGCTTGAACGACGACAACCGTTCGTGCTACGGATCTAGCCCGTGCGCGTTTCTACACACGAACGCGAAACGACTCTCCAAGGGGGGTTGGGGAAATACGTAATATTTTACGGTGCTTGCTTTGTAACGGGTTAATTGGGAGGTGGTGTTCCGCGGGTTATAATGGAACAACGAGGTCATAATTGTAAACGAGACGGTTTAAAGGTTAAACTCCACGTTACAGGGGAGAGAAGTTAAGCTGGAAAATCCGCGAAGGGAAGTGCGTTAATCGTAGAGGTTAGGTGATTTCGATGCAAATGGTGGAATATAATCTCACCTCTTGTGCAGACGGCAGCGTGGATTTGTCGGTCGACGGTCGTTCAATCGTGGCGACGAGAGACGCGCTCGACCAGGCACACGTCACTTCTATCACTCCACTTCACTCGTTTCATTGAACTTGTTTACGTATCTCGCTACGTATCTCGAACATCCTCCCAGCATTTTTACATAATCGATCGTGCTCCGGTAGAAATATAAATCGAACGTAGATACGCACGAATATTCGTGTGATACGCTCCGATTTAGATCGTTTCAATTCTTGATTTTATGAAGGGTAGCGAACATCGCGCTCGCCTTATGTTTACAATCGATCCTTCTCGTTCGAACGCTACTCCGATAACTACCTTATTCGTAGTTCCAGACTTTCACACCGACTTTTCTTCACCGCCTCGTTTATTCAACGTTCTCATAATATTGTCGGTCACCATGTCACAAGTGCTAGGGAATCAAGGAACAGGCAAAATTCATGGAATTCTATTATACAGATAACAATATGTACGCGTACACCGACGCGTTCGAGGAATATGATTCGAAGTGTCTGTCGTTACTGTTGTCAATATAACCACGACCTTTGGATCCTCGACATCCTTCTTCTTCCCTCGGGATCGCTGTCTGTTATTCAAACACCTCTCCTCCCGATATAGTTTCACGACATAAACATTCCATCACTTTGTCACCCTTTCCACGAATTCGATCCACCGCGTGCAAGAAGATACTTCTTCTTCCTCCTCCTTCTCGACTTTATTCACTGGGCGCGTAGCTCGTTCAAGGCTCGACCTGGCCTCTGCGGGACAGTCAACCCCCGATCATCCTCCGAACGAAATGTGTGCGTTGCAAAGTGATCGGGCGAGTGTCGCGTCGATTCGATTCGCGGGACGGGCGAAAAATCGCGGATTGAAAGAAATCGCGCGCGGCAACAGGTGAGAGAGACGGAGAACGAGCAAGAGGACGGGTACAAGAGGAGGCAGTGAGAAGAGAAGACGATGGAGAAGGGCAACGCGATGAGGATGGCGTAACACCGCGCGTAGTAGCGGACAGTCGGCAACTAAAGCCCCTGAGGAGGGTCACCTCTCTCTCCTTCGTCTCTTCTTCTCGTCCTCTCTTCGGTCGTGTGTGTGCGTATCTCTCTCTTTCTCTCTCTCTCTCTCTCTCTCTTTCTCTCTTTCTCGCTCACTCTTTCTCTCTGTATCGCCACACGTGTGGTGGCCGCCAACACACGAGTGCCGTGCGTGCACCTCGAAACACGTACGATGTTCCTTCCTCTCCCCCTCCCCTCGCCGCGCACACCGGTCCGTGTACCCTCTATGCTCTCACTCTCCTCTCTTTCTCTCTGTCTCCACACCACCTTCCTTCTTCTTCCACCCCTCCACCCCTTAACCCACCTACAGTACCACCCCTTTTTTTTTCCTTCTCTCTTACCCGGCCACCAACGTCCTTGTCCCTCTCCAAAGGCACGCCAACACTACGCACCAACAGCAACCGCTCTCGCAGATGCACACGACCGACTCTTTCTTCGTTCCCCAGTGCACGCACGGCTGTGTGTGCATCTCTCGTCGATTCGCGTCGGTGTACGGTACGTGTGGTAGGAGGAGTGGGAGGTAGGACACGCGACACGGGTCGATGGTGGGGGAGAGAGAGGTTCATCAGAAGAGGGGATCGCTTCCCCTCGTTCCTCTTTCCCCTACCGCGAGTGGTTCGCGCGGGGCACAACGCGGGTCTTCCCCGCGCGCGCTTTCCTGCCCAGCCACTGGAACGACCGTGTCCGTCGTCGTTCTCGTTTTTCTCCGGGTCGCTCCACTCGGTTTTTCGTGCCGCTTCTCCGCTCGTGTGACTCGGGTGGAGATCACCTCGTGAATGACACGTACGACCGGCGCGTATCGGGTTCGAGCATAGGTGGGACACTTCGGAGGGAAAGTTCGAAAAATGTTCACGGAGTGGACACGACGAAGCAGAAAGGAAGTCTCTACTTACCACTTTGAGCCTTTTCTCTTGTTTTTCTTCGGTTCCCGCGGGATACGTCAGTTCCACCATTCTAACACCATCGCTGAAATTCCGTTACTGATCGTTCGCCAATATCTGTCGTATATTCATTGAATAATTTTTCGAACCACTCTCTTGTCACACTTTAAATCAAACTATCCTTCGTTCACTGTTATTCTCGCAACCATCCTCTGTTCTCGTGAAATTTCAAATCACCGATCAATTGTCCCCCAAGCGAACAAAATAAACCACGTGTCGCGAATCGTGTAGGCGGGATGATACAGTCTCTCAGCAACGAGATCGACGAATTCGCGACCATGAGAAAAAACGCGGCACGTTGTTGGTGGTAGCCCACGCGGAGTGCGACTACGCGGCAGTGGCAGCGATTACGATGCTAAGCAACTGCGTCCTCGAGGTTGCAAAACTCGCCCCCTGAAGGGAACTGAAAAGAGGGGTGGCGAGGCGGTCTCTCCCTTCTGATTCCCACGCCACGTCGTGATTCCTCTCTCTTTCTCTCTTTCTCTCTCTCTCTCTCCTCTCCTCTCCTCCCCTTTTCTTCTTCTCCTCCTCCTCCTCCGCTTCCTCATCGACGTCACCGACTCATGGACTCCTCCCTTGCTTGTTCCGGCACTCGAACTCGAATCGAGGAAACCAAGGACGAACCCCCTTGTTTTTCTTCTCTCAATCTCCCCCTCCTCTTCTGCACCTTTCCCCTCCCTCCCTCCCCCTCCCGCGTGGCTTGGTAACAGTTTCGCCACCCCTGTTCGAGAAACGCATCCACGCCATAATGCACAAAGTAGAGTACGTGTTGCATCGGGTCGACCCGACACGCTGGAACTTAGATGCAACTGGTTGCATCGTCGCGCCGGCTCGTGACTACGATGCACGCACGGTGCGTGCGAGCGAGCGTTGCTAATCTCGTGGAATCGCTAGTCACTTTTGATCACGTAGCCGAGAGCCGGAGGAGGATGTAAAAGACCGTCCCGTCCGTATCGAGGAATTTATGACACGGCGCAACGGTACGTGTCCCAACGCGTACACCGGGATATCTTAATTAGTTCTTCGTTGGCGTTCCTTTGCTCCTCGCTCGACTATGAACTCTTCTGCTTTTATCTCTCTGTATGTAATTCCTACTTGCACGTCGTGCGTGCAGTTGTACTCTCGATGTAACACTTTTATAGCCATATAGAATTTCTTTGGTTCAACGCGTACGTTGATTTAGCAGTTTTTAATCACCGAGTAATAATCGCTATCGGTTATAGATGACTGTAGTAATTTACATTTGTCTGCAAATATGTGGGACTTTTAATTCCACTCAGTTCTGCCCTAACCTTTGATTTCATTTCTTGGGTATAACTAATCGTTGAAGCAGCAGTTTTTAATCCCGAAGCGGTAGCTTGCTGTTGTTGGATTGCAGATGACTGATTTGCAACAATAATTCGTCGTAGATCGCGAAGATTTATGGCTTTTTAATTTTACCTCTCACCAATTAAAGATTTCAAAATAAAACGACTGTCTCCAGTTTTTGCTCGCAATCAGCTTGACCAGTCAAAAATTAATCCGCACGCAAATGTCGTAATTCAGATTTCGCACGTTTCGGGGCCATGTACGTACGTATCTCAACAAACAGAAACAAAGATAAACGGTATACAGCGATCGCGAGGAGTCAGCGCGGTCGCTGGTGATTAATTCACGCGGAAGACACACGTGATTATCGTTGAACGAGCCCGAGAAGAGAGTTCGCAAGAAATCGCGGTGGAATGCGAGCGAACGGGGAGGGAATGAGAGGGATTCGCTCGATGGAGAAACAAAAATTGTTCACCACGCGAACGGATCAAGTTGGTGGACGACGAGGGGTGACGGATGAAAAATAAAAACTCTTATATTCGAGTGATGGAGGCTGGGCGTGAGCGCACTGTCAGCCGTGCCTGTGCACCGATGTTTTAATTAATGTATTTGATAGCGGCCGAGCACGAATTTATCGAGCTTCTCCAGCGTCGATACATCGTCCGCGAGTGAAAAACCCACGCAACGACCCTTCGATAATAATTAGAATCCTCGTTGCCTCGGTAGCCGGCCGATTTCCTTGAACCAGTTCAGTTTCGCGTCTCGTGCAGACGTTTCGTCCTCGTTTTTCACCTGTCTCCCCTCCTCTTTCTCTTCCGTTTTAACGTGAAACCGCCGCGATCGGTCGGCCCCGATCGGATTAATTACACCAGAGTAAATATAATATGTTAATCAAATGTATATTGCAAGGTGGTAATTGAGCGGTCGGATCGAGCAGCCCCGGTTTCACGAAAGCGCAGCACGCGATCGGCACGCGATGATCACTTGACGAGTTGTCGAATCCCGTGTAAGGGCTCCGCAACCTGGGCCCGGTTGTTCGTGAGAGAATTCGCGATATCGATTCGATCCGTGGCGCGCTTTGCTTATTTTAGAAACGCGTTGGCCAGCGAAACTCACGCTTCGAAGTTGATAGATTTCACGAAAGCGAGATCTCACTTTTGTAAATGTCAGACGCAGACGAATTTGAGGATTTCATTATTTTGAGTACCTATTTAGATTCTCGTCCAATTAAAACCTGAATCTAGTACATCCGATTCTCCATTCAATCTTTACCGTTCATCATTCATTCGGATCTGACTATGTGGATATATTTCTTACACACTTACTCAATTGAAACACCAGATTTAAACTCGACGAACTGTTTCCATTTAGAGTCTCGACCACTGAAAATATTACAATTCGAAATTCAAGTAAGTATCTTGCTTTGGTTGGATCTTGTTCGAACGTGAAGCTTTGAATATTTCAGCTTGGAGAGAAGTAATTTGTCGTGACGTTACACAAAGACGGGGAGAAAATTTAAAGCATAAGTTTCGTAGGCACTGAACTTCTCAATTATTCTTGCTTCGTATGTCAATAATAAAGAATACCAAGCGTGACTGATGAACAACAACAAATACAATGTAACGCAGGAAAGGAAATTCGGAGCTGTCTCGCAGATCTGTCTATAGTACAAGAGGTCGAGAAGAAAGAAGGATGTCGAACACGAAGATTCCGTTCCCGCGCAAAGAGCAGCGTGTTTCTTTGTTCGACGTGAAAACCCGCTGCAAGCCGATCAAAGGAAAGGTTTAACCGAGTCGGTCGACCAATTTATAAATAAATACCGATAAGGAGAGATTATCGTTGTTTGCGTAACTTTCGGTGTGGGCGTCTCAGACGTTGTTCATTGATCACGCCATTCCCTCGTCGATATTAGCACACGGTCGATATCGGAATAGAAGAAACAATTTTTCCGTTGTTTTTCTCGAAAATTTATTTTCGGTATCTCTGAAGAGCATACGTACAGTCTTACTTCCATAGTGTCGTTTTTCTCTTCGTTTGAGTGGACCGTTGGACGTCTTCGCGATATCGTTTTCATTATTTGAAAATTTGTGTACCTAATCTTTTATCGCCTCGTTATATTTCGAATACTATTTGAGAATTTAGTACGGATGAAACGTAAACTTCATTTATTGGATTGAAATTGAATGTCAGCTCGAGTCGATTCAATGCTACGTACACTTAGAGTTCGTTTTCAATCTTATTCAATTTCCTTGTGAAAAATCGCATTATGAAACACTGATTCGCAACACGCTAAAGTGCATAACAACTCGTAATCCAAAACATTTTGTTATTTATTCCGATAATTCATCGGATCAGCACGGTGCATCGCTTTCGTCACCGATTCGCTTGTTTGTCTCTGTCAACCACCCACTGCGAAAACATTCCGCTCGACAGAAGCAGCGGTAATTGACTGGGATCTAATCAATCCTCCTCTCCTGACACCGAGCGTGGAAAGTTTCGCTAAATTTTCTCAAGATCGCTTCTTTCAAACCTCGTTATACTATCGTCATAATTCTATTTCCATCGATGTGACATTTTCACGAGCGTCAATGGTGATCGATAGTCACTGGCTGAGCTATCGAACACTTTAAACCGCTTCGAATAGGATCTATCTTTCTTTTGAGTATTGAAAATCTTTACAGTCTTGATAAAGTTTCGAAGATAGTCTTTATAATTTTGGGGCTGTTGAAAAATCCAAGTGGTCTTGAAAGTCTTGATAATCTTGGTAGTTTTAGAAGGCTTGAAGATCTTTGGAATCTGGATATTCTTGAAAATCTTAACTCTCGATAATTTTGGAAAACTTGGAAATCTTGAAAATCTTTATAATCTCAAAATTCTTGAAAGCCTTGATAGTCTTGGTAGTTTCAGAAGGTAGCTTCAAGTTCTCTTCAGAGTTTCGATATTCTCAAAAATTCTCGTAGGTTTGGAAATTTTGAGTCTTGAAAATTTTCAAAATCTCGGTTATTTCGATAAATCTGAATATTTTGATAAATCGAAGGCAATTAAAACACGTTTACAATTAATTGAAAACAATTACGTAACCAATTGCATAATATATATCATATAAACTATAAAGACCAATAACGTAGGTAAATGCATTTCCACGTTTCCTTTTATGTTTCGTGTTAATGATGCTGCATCGAAGCATTGAAAATTCTGGTAAACTAGCGCCTTTCGAAACTTGTACTTTCAAAATTTCTAAAACTTTCAACACTTGCGACACTTTTACTATTCTACTTCGAAACTGACATCCACGAATACTCGTGGCTACGTCATCGATCGCGTGGCTCTTATCGATACGATTCTACTCGAAAAGTTTCAGCGGAAGGGACAAAAAAAAAAAAAAAAAAAAGAAAAAAGAAAAAGAACACGTCGGATTGTTCGAGACTCTCGTGCAGGCTCTCGCGTTGCTTTCGCAAATATTTTGCATCGAGGCGATGACCCGCGGCGACCCAGACGCACAGTTCCAACGATTTCTTCCCGCTTCGCCTCGGTATCTGCCAACCGGCGACAAAAGAGCTCCGATTTTCGGCCAGTGGAATATTTTTGTTCCGCGATACACTCGACGCTTACGTTATCGTGCGTGGGCGTAACGCCTGCCTGTGATAACACTTCGCGAATCGGTCGTAAATACGTGCCGATCGGCCGAGAAAAGAACTTTGACTCGCTCCTTTGTGCCAGTACACTTCTCCACCGTATGGGGTAGAGCCAACAGCGGCTATTTCAACAGCGACAACCTCTCGCTGTCGACGAAAATTCGAGAAAACAAATTTTTACAAAAGTTTACTATTCTTTGGTCGATTTATCGCTCCGTGATACACTGGTATTACCGTATTTACTCAAATGACAAGACCTTAATCCTCTATGGGCTTGTGTAACTTTCAGGTTGCATGCTAATATATCGACATTTTACCAAAATAATTTTAGTTTCTTCACAAGATGACGTATACGTCTTAATTATATAATGTCTCTCAGATAACCAATAACAATACTGATGACGGACGCTGCAAAAAGCCGGAGTGTAAAGGAGTTCCAAAAATAAAATGTTCCAAGTGCAACGTACATCTATGTTTAACGCCAAGTGCAAACTGTTTTGTGGAATTTCACGCTTAAGCTTTTTTATGCACAGAAGTGCAAATATCGTAAACCGTTGTTACTTCAAAATTACAAAGTGAA